CTAGATGCCCCTGAAGGAACCAACTGGAGTCCAAGTGAATCTGGATGGACTAAACAAGGGATTGCAAAACTATAGTTTGAGCTTACATTTTTAAAAAACATTGGACCACAACGTCCACAAGTTTTAATTTTAGATGGCCACGATTCCCATAATTTGGTAGAGTTAATAGATATGGCCATACAAAACCGAATTGAAATTGTTGAATTACCTGCTCATACAAGCAATTGGCTTCAACCTTGTGATCGAACTGTATTTAAGCCATTCAAAGTTTCATATAATAAAGCAGCCCAGGATATGATGTCTAATCACCCCGGGGTTATAATAAACAAGGCCAATTTTACAGGACTTTTAACCAAAGCCTGGAATAAAAGTATGACAAAAGCTAATATTGAATCTGGCTTTAAATCATGTGGAATCTTTCCATATAATCCTTCAATTATTCCAGCTGAAGCTTACTTGCCAAACTATGTGTATTCTGAAAACAGGTTAATGACTAATCTCTTTGATCAAATTAAAACAGTTGATAATACAACAATAGTTAAGCAGATTAAGCAAACAACAGACAGCACAAAAGTACTTTTACCAGATATTGAGTTGGAACAACATCTAATTACCAACCCAAGATTTGCTGTAGTAAATGATCACGACTATTTAGCTGAACCAATAACCGTAGTAGAACATAGGAGTGATGATTTAGTGGAACTAAATATGAAAACTATAGAACTAAAAGCTGCAAGTAATAAAGCTACTAGTAAGTTTCAAAAAAACTTTAGGATTATGTCTTACTCTGAAATTGAACAGCCTATTGATCAGCATGAAGTTGATTTTACAGTTTCAACTCTTTTAGCTTCTGATTTTGCAAAAACTGGATCTTTAGCCCCAAATTTCCTCTTTAAAAATTCATCTTATCCAGGAGATGGAGATAATGACATTTTGCCATATTCTTATCCAAATTTTACAAAGAGCAAAAAAGTTAAGAATGCAGACAAGTTTTTTGTGCTTACTTCTAAGGAAGCATATGAGTCACAGTTAAAGCAGAAGCAAAAACAAGCTCAAAATGAAAAGGAAAAAGAAATGCGTAAATAGAAAAGACTACAAAACTTAAAAATAAAGGAAGCAACGGTATTGTCAAAAGATAATCCTAGAAAAAAACCGTTGCTATAAAAATGAACCAATAAAAGTATAAAAAAGCAATGTGTAATTTGATCATGTTGTTATGAATTTTTGTTCTTAGTGTTTAAAAAAGTCTTTTATAGAGTTCACTGAATTCTTTTTTTTTTTTATGTGAATATTATATTCTATGCAAATCTTTTAAAATAGTTTCAAAATCATTTTTGAATAGTTTTAAAATCATGTCCTGAAAACTTATTTTTTTTAGATTTAGGCATCCTTACTAAGTTTATTTGTTGATAAATGCTTAGTATTAAGTTAAGCAATCATTTTCTAACTGATGTTTAAGATCACATCAAAAAAATTATTGGTTCAATATTTAGTAATTCAATTAATTTTAAAATATTTTAAATGCCAACCCATAAAAGTATTATAAAAAGCTTGTTATTTATATTGGCTGTAATTAGGTTCATTCCGCATACGCCTGGCTGAAATTTGGTCATAGTGGCTGTATTTTGGTCAAATTTATATACTTTTTGTAATCGTTGTTTTATCAAACATTTTTTATTTATAGTAATTGCTGTAATTATATCCTAAATGCTGAAAGATTTATCTTTCTAGAAATGTATAATTTTCATATAGACCTCTTTGTTAATATGTCTGTAGAAACAATTTTGTAAAGATGCGGCTGGAATTTGGTCACTTTACTCTAAACTTGAGCAAGTTTAAATTTTTTTGTTTTAAAATGCGTTGCTATGGCGTTGCTACGGACTTCTCAATCTACTATGGCCACAAAACACATAATTGTACACACCTCCTTCTTTATTTATTAAAAAAATAATTAATAATATTATTCTAAGAAAAATTTTGAATTTAAAAAACCAATTTTCAAAAAATTGATTTTTTCTAAAAAATTTCGAAATTAATGGGGATGTACCACCTTAAAAAAAACTATTTTTTCACATCTTTTTTTAATTGTGTGTATATATATATATATATATATATATATATATATATATATATATATATATATATATATATATATATATATATATATATATATATATATATATATATATATATATATATATATATATATATACAGTGGTTTTCATAAATTTAGACGCACTCATATTTGAGAATAGAAAATTTTGACGAAAAAATGACGAAAAAAGATTTCGGTTTAGTTTTTTTTCTATTTATCAGATAAATACATACAGAATACAAAATTTAAAAAAAGTTTACAAAAAAAATGAAATACTAAGTAATAATTAGGTACAATACATGGTATTAAAAAAATTAGACAAAAAAAATTATTCATAAAATTAAGACGCACGATACATTAGAAGGCGTAATTTATGAACCAATCAATATTTTGTGTATCCGCCTTTTGCTTTAATACAAATAAGAACTCTTCTAGGCATAGACTCAACAAGATTTTTGCACATCGCTTCTGGGACCCCATACCAGGTCTCCTTAAGGAATTCTTTCAGCTGACCAAGTGTGGAAATTTGAACTTTTACTAATTCACGATCAATCCAAGCCCAAATGTTTTCAATCGGGTTCAAATCAGGTGAATATGGAGGCCACGGTATTGTCATAATATTATTATCGTTGAACCACTCCTTTGTATAGTATGCAGTATGTGCAGTAGCGCTATCTTGTTGAAGTTTCCATGGTTTATCATTGAGCATAAGCAGGTCAATTGATGGAATTAGGTTGTTTTCCAGTACTTCTACGTATATTCTGGAGTTGATTCTTCCGGTGTATGTTTGGCACATACCAACACCTTTGTAATTGAAGCATGACCAGATTCCTATTGAGCCTCCTCCACTTTGTACAGTTGGTCTAATGTACCTGGCGTAATACTTTTCGTGAGCCATTCTTTTGACTGTTATGTTAGATTTGCGATTGATAAGCTCAAAGTTACTCTCATCACTCCACATAATGTTTTCCCATTGATCTATTGTTTAATACCTTCTTTCACGACACCATTTTAGTCTCCTTTGTTTATCATATGGACGCAGAAGCGGTTTCTTCAAAGCAGTGTAGACTCCAATCTTGTATTTGATAAGTATTCGGCGGACTGTGTTTTGAGAAATAGATGTATTTCGCGTTGTATTGAATTCTGTGGTCAATTCTTTGTAACTAATTCTTGGATTAGCTCTGACAGCTCTAAAAAGAACACTATCGTCCTTTCTCGTGGTTGACAAGGGTCTACCTGGCCTCGTTTTCTCGCTGGCACCACCAGTGTGAAGAAAGTTTTGTTTCGTTGTCCGAACGCATTTCTCAGAAACTCCAATTAACTTGGCGATTTCTCTATTACTTTTGGTTCCTTCTTTGATGTGCGCAATAATTTGCCATCTTTGACCTTGAGTGATACGTCTTTTGCCCATTTTTTACGTTTTTTTAGTGCAAAACTAACTTAACTTTTGTTTATTTATTAAATAATGATTAAATAATTCCAGGTAAGTCATATTTATATAAGATTTTTTGACAAAATCAATTAATTTAGGCCTATTAATGAGAAATATAAGAAAAAAACTACTAATTAACTATCAATTAACAAGATATAAGACTTTTTTAATTGTGCGTCTAAATTTATGAACAAAAGAAAATCAAGTTTATCAATTAACGTTTTTGTGTTAATCGGTATAAAATGAGTAATAAACATCCTGTAAAAAAAATTAAGGTACTCTATAATAGTTTCATTTCCTCTTTTAAATTATATATCAAACATAGCGGTAGCACTTTTATTTTATTTTTATTTTGAGTATTTTCTTACATATATGAAAAAAAAAAATGAATGCGTCTAAATTTATGAAAGCTATCGTTTTTTTTTTTTTTTTTTTTTCAAAAAGTATATATATATCATTTTTTTGAAATTTTTCAAAAAGTTAATAAAACGGTCCGTTTTATTAACTTTTTGAAAAATTTTAAAAAACGTAAAAAAACGCGCAGGGTCGTCATTGTTTTAATGAGTTTTTTTAGCAATAAAATAAGGTTGGCTGTCATATAGAGTTCATATACAAACTATGAAAAAATGGTTCTTTTCTTAGAAATGAGTCGTTTTGGTAGCTTTCAAAAAAATTAAACGTAAAAAAAATTTTAAGTTAAAAAAACTTTAGTTGTCCCAGGTTTTAATAGTTTTTTTTTGATATTTATGAAATTAGTAGCGCGGATAATGATTTGTTTATGTCTTAATATTTTATTTGATAGCTTTGATTGCGGGTTTATATTCAAATTAACAACAAAAGACGACAAAATTTTCTGCGGATTCATCTTCTGCTGATTAGTATTACCCTTTGGAATAAACTGAACCCGATAATCAGTTAGCAAACAATTCTTTGTAGTATATTACAACCTCGAAAACAACTGGCAATATATTCAATCATTTATATCAATATTTTGATTTGATTTAAGCAAAGGTTTCTACTAAAAATATAAAGTTTTGCGCAAAACATAGCAATGTTTTGGGTTAACCAAGATGGCGGCTGACTTTCAAAACTGGCTTCACTGCGTATTATATAAAGTATACACTACGGGGTCTCTTATTTATTAAACCTCCTTGTATCTAACAGTTCATAACAAATCAAACGGTTCAAATAGCATTTTTTATATTTTGTTTCATGTTAAATAAGCATGTATTAACTGGTGTGTTTACTTGTAGATTTTAATTGTTTTATAATAGAATGCTGAAAAGAATTGAATCAGTGTTTTTTAAGAAGGCCGATTTCTTAAAAACTTCTTAAGCAAATCCGCCCTTTTAGAAAACACTGATTCAATTATGGCTTTTATTCCTGCCTTACTTTTTGAACTCTACGAAATGTGTTAATTTAATAACATGTGTTGTAATAATATATAACTTTATAAATTAAACAAACATTGAATCAAGTTACATACATGCTAACAGGTGTCTGAAGAAAAACAACTTGATTTTCTTGTCAGACTGGTTTATCATAGCTTCTTATATAAATTTAGTGATTTTTTTTAAAATTAGTTGTTTTAGTACATTTTATAAGCTTACCTTACTGCTACTGTTTCAAGTAAGATTTTTTATACCTATTGTATTGTTTTACGTTACGTTAATACATATTTTACTTTAGCAATTTTGAACAACTTTTAAAACTTGTGTTTCAATCTTTTAGTACAAAAACTTATATCTGTAATATATACCCATGCTGTAGCCATGTTGTAATATATCATGTTGTTATTACAATTGTGAACATGCTGTAGCCAGTTATTGCAGTAAAGCAATATCTAAACGAGCATTAATACTATTTAAAACGAACATTAATACTATTTAAGAAAAGCTTTAGACTTCATAAAATAAGTTTCTTTAAAATCCTCTGTTTGGTATTTGATTTTTTTTGCAGTTTAAAATGTGTATAAAGCACTTTTTATGCTATTTTAACCATATGTTTTTATAAAATAAATTATTTCAGTCACATATGAATTCGTCTTTAATATTACAAAGCATATAACCTATTAAAATTTGGGGAAAATGAATAATGCTGTTTGTTTTTAGAAAACGAATTCTTCACAATGATTGCATCTGTGATTTTTATTTTATTGAGCATAAACTGTTTATTTATTCCTTCAACTGATGGAAAACTTTCGGCATCACAAATCCAAAATCTCATCCAAGCTGGATTGGTAGTTGGTTCCGCTGTAGAAAAATTAATTGGAAAAATATCCACTTGTGGTAAAATGTGTTGGCATAACGATTGGGCTCACCGAGATAATGTAGCCAATCAACTTAATATGTATGACTGGCGCTGTTCATATAGCTACACATGGGGAGGTAGATGTTATTGTGTTGGTCCTGCACACTGTGGATGTGGAGAAAATTGCTACAATGGGGATTGGAAGAAACGAGATAATGAAGCAAAGTCAGCTGGAGTATATGAAACACAGCGCTGCTCGTTCGATAACATGGATGGCGGGAGATGTTATTGTTGGGGAAAACCCTGTTTATGAATTATCATAGCAAATTTGTAATTTAATATATGTATCACACATTTAACCATAGTTCATAAATCTTTTCTTTTAAAAATCTATTTGACATAAAAAAAAATTATTAATAAACTTATTAATGTTTGTTGAAAAAAAATTTCAAAGTTGAAATAATGGGTCTGGGTGCGAAGAATTTTTGCTTTTTAGTTATATTAAAAAGTTATAAAAATCAATTATAAACAGCGTTACCTTTTTACGATAAAAATCTATTTAAATTTTAGTGAAGCTTTGTTTGTTGAATTTATGCTTTAGACGAAGATTGGTAGATATCTTGATTGTAAAAACAATATAATAATAAAAAACTATTAATATTTCAAAAGTTTTTCAATATGTAATTGAGAACACAAAAGTTGAATTTAAGAAACATAAGATGTAATCGAGAACATGAACGTTGTAATTGAGAAAGATTAAAAAAGATTTATAATATAGATAATCCGAATTCTTTGCATTTTAATTTTGTAGCCATATTTTGTAATTTAAAGCTAAATCAGCCTCTGGCCAAGCTGGCGAAATGGATTGGTATTCAATAAATAAAAATACATTGTCAATAAAATTAAAAAAGTCATGAATAAGACATGTGACAATAAATGGAAAAATACATTTCCTTTTACACCAGCATATACCTTGAAATATATGAATAATTCTTATAAATCATAATTTTTTATATATATAAAAAAAAAAAAGAAAAAAAGAATCGAAGCAATAACAAGTGGCACAATCATTTTCTAAGATAGCCAAGCCGATAATGACAAACCTCTTATTGTTGGGTAAGTTTAACTGTAGCAATCATTAAAACTTCAGAAAAAGTTAAGCGCTACGTTGTTCATCAATAGTTTTTGTTCATCAATTCTTTCTTAAACTCATTAAGCATAGCAATTGTTTTAAGTTCATTAGTTAATATTTTATTCCATAATTTTGGCCGTCTAGTAGAAATTGAAAATTCAGTCGCCGCAAAAACACTTTTTGGTTTAACATAACTGTTATTTGAATATCTGGTTAGATATCTATTCTGATTTATTTTGAATAGTGGGTAAAATATTTTAGGAGATATATTTTTATTAATTTTGAACATAAATATAAGAATTTGATACACATTTAATTGATAAACATTCAACATATTTATATTATCAAATGTTTTGGGAGTGTAAATAATGTTAATAAAAAATCACAATGCTCGTTAGGGTACATCATACTTTTCAAATTTTTGATTTTGAATTCGGCGGATTTTAATGGTGCCACTATATGTAAAAATGAACTTCCAAAACAAAAATTAAAAAAAAATAATTTTTTACCTAGGCGGGATTGCAGTTTTTGAAAAGGTAAAATTGTTCATTTATGCATAAATGCAAGGGGGGTCAAAATTATTGAAATATGAAACTATTTAGATTTTTTTTATATATTACCATATGCGGCGAATGGTGAATAATTTTTTTTTCTAAAAAAAAATAATTTTAGCGGGGAAAAAGGCCTTATAAGATTGAAAAAAAAAATGTTAAAATATAAAATATGTTAAATTTTTTAAATAATAAGGACATTCATTGGAATTTTATCATTAGAAAATTTTAGACTTTATTTTTATGAATGACGTCTTTATAATTCAGACAAAATGACTATAATTAAAAGTGTAAAATAACAACATCTTAATAATGATGTTGTTATTTTACTTGGGGGTTGAATTGTAAGTGATTTCAGACTATTACGACTGTAATTATGTTTTTATGAGTTTTTCGTGGTTTAAAAACTGTATAAAAAGAGTTCTTGTTTTTATTTGCAAACATATAAATGGAAATTTTAATAATTATATTAAATTAACTATGACTACTTCAAAAAACACAAGACTCTCTATGGAAACAAAATTATCAACATATTTAGGCAGAAGTAAGGATCTTATTCTGTCAGAAGTGCCAACTTTAAGAGATATTTTGAGAAAAGGTCTGCTTATCCAAGAAGCTCTACTTCGAGAAGAAGATAACCTCCAGTTGCTCTTGTCTTTTTTTGAAAATTACCATATCACCCTCGCTTCCAACAGAAGCTAATAGCTGACAAGTTTTCAATAAGTTTCGATATTTTTGTGCTTCTTAAAGCTTTAACCAGTTTTACATCAACTTCCGATACAATTTGAACACTTAAAGTTATATTGGAATCGTTTCTTGCTCTAAGAGATTGATTATAGTATTCCTTAGTCCATCTTCGATTTACTAACTTTACATCAAACATAGGTTTGATGTAAAGCATCAAAAACTTAGCATCATAAACTTGCGCATCAAAAACTTGCGCAGTTGGAATAAATGATAACATCTTAATTCCATTTTAGACATGAATCTGCAATTGCAAAACTCTTTTTTGAAAGTTTTTGTCACTGCAGTTAATTTTGTATCTAAAAGCATTTGTTTATTCTGCTCGTACACAATACTTGATTTGGAATATGCAATTTTTTGAATTATTTCAAGGCAACGATTTCTATCGGCTGAAGTGATCATTTTCTCGCAAGTAATTTCTCTTCGAAAGGAGCGTAAACTGTAAAAAAAAAAAAAAAAGCTTGCATAAATATAAAGCAAAATATTTGGGGAAAATAACTTGAATATTTTTAAACCCTCTTGTCTGTTTCGCTCAATATCAGAGCTCATCAGCATGCCTAGAGTGTTAAGCATATTACAAATGCCTAAAATAACACTCGGACATGGACAGCTCAATGATTTACAGTGATAAATAAACTTCATACAAAAAATAACTAAAATTTAAAAGCAGATATTGGAGTAATGTGCTGATCAAAAATAAATAGATAAACAAAAAACTCATTTTATTTACAGAAAGAAAACTTACCCAAAACGGTTATCTAAAAATGGCTTTGAAAAAATTAAAATAAGTCTTACCAATGATACAAACAAATTAATAACATACCCGCATGAAAGGCTACAGCAAAAGCTTCTCTTTCTGTAAAGTCTTTATCCGACATCACTACACGTGTATCTTTCCAATAGCCGTTGTGCTTTTTAAAAATTTGCACCACTTCTGTAACAATTGGTTTTTTTTCCTCGGCTAGTATAGACAAAGCCACAATCTCACTTTGGCCACCTCCATCTCTTACAATCATTAAATAAATAGGCATGCGTAACCCCAGTAGCTGGTATGTAGCATCTACAAAAAGTTTCTCTGGGTACCTTTCGTACATCTTCTGCATTTGTGAGTCCTGGAAAAAAAGCCCCTTGAACTTTTTATCAGAATCAACAAGAACTTCAACCACAGATCCTTTTCGTTGTTTGAGAAATTCTGCAATGTCGTATATTTCATTATCAGAAAATGAAATTTTAGAATATTGACGAAGGTTAGCAATATCTTTTAATATGCATTTTTTGCCAGACGATAACTCAATCTTTTGCTGTAGATGTTTGCTATTTGCTTTTAACTGAATCGCCTCTTTAACGTTTTTCATCATATCTGGAGATGGGATTCTTTGTTCAGGCAAGTGTTTGTACAGTTCCTGAGAAACCAGATGATTGTGTTCTTCTTGTACACGCACCACTTGTAGGTACTGATTGTCAACTGAAAATTGTAGGTGATTGTCAACTGAAAGTTCCAGCACAATTTCAAACGGACAACCACAACGGAAGGATTTAGTTTTTCTCTTTCTTTCTAATTCTGGCTGACTCGACTTTCCGCTAAACTTGCAAACAAACTGTAGAGTTTGGTAATGCAATGCCATATTAGCTGAAGCAATTCGATTAGGAATTCTCTTTTCAGCAGCTTCTAAAGACCTTTCTTTACTTTTCACAAGTTGACAATGTCGTTTTAACTCATAATTAATTTTACAAGCCTCTACCAATTCAATACTTGTAAACTATTGTCCCACTTTCCAAATAACCTCATCTTCAATGTTATAAAAAAATGTATTAGAAAAGGTATAAAATTTATATCCATGTTTGTGTGGTTTGGATGGTTCTCCATAGTGACATATAAATGCCACTATGAAAGAGTTAAAGCATTTTTTTTACAATGGGATGCCCTTCCTGACGATCGATATATAAAAAATTTTAATTTTCAATTACTTTACTGACACAATTATCATTGATGCCAACTGATTCGTTTTTATCACCTGTTATCTGAATAAAAAAAAAAATCATTATAAGCTTCTAATATAGTTACTAAATCTAAAAACATTTTTTAACCACTTGTTTCACCTGTTATATATATATATATATATATATATATATATATATATATATATATATATATATATATATATATATATATATATATATATATATATATATATATATATATATATATATATAAAACAGGTATATATATATATAACAGGTGATAAAAACGAGTCAGTTGGCATCAATTATAATTCGTAACCGTGATGGTTGTAATGAAAAATACAATTTTTCCTCTTTCTCATGGAATTGTCCATATATATATATATATATATATATATATATATATATATATATATATATATATATATATATATATATATATATATATATATATATATATATATATATATATATATATATATATATATATATATATATATATATATATATATATATATATATATATATATATATATTTACACACATAGATACAAACACACAACTCACATTTTCTGAACATCCAGGTGGTTCATCAATCATAATAGTTGGCTTTATATCTAAAGCATTAGAACCTTTAGATGATTTGCCAATATCTTCAAGGCATTTCTGGAAAAAAAAGTTAAAATAAAATAATATATATATATATATATTTAGTCTTAGTCGTTTGTTATCACTATTTGTAGCTGTACCTTGGCTATTTCAACAATACCTTTAGATAAAAATAGCACAGTATAACAAAACATGCTTAGAAACATTAAAAAAAAACTTTTAATCAATTTTAAATTACATATATTTTTTAAGCAAAATCTTATATTGAAAATATAATTAAAGTTTTTTAACTAGCCATATTTGCATAAATGTCAACATAAATAATACTTTATATAATACTTTATATAAACAAACAAATTCTCAAAA